GGGGGGGGGCGGACGTAGGTTATCTGACACGTGCGACCCTCTGCTGCAATCACGTGTTTCCGACGTCACATCCCGGAAGATGCACTAGAAGGGTCCATTCCGTGAACAAGGCTGACCTGAACGTTTAGCCCTTTTTTGGAATTGTGTTTACCTTCATGTGGTCTAGCCTAACAAAACTACTGCTCTGTTTATTCTTGCTGAAACACATTCATACACTACATTTAGTGCATGTTGACCATCCCCTCTAACTTTATAATATAACCTAACACCACGGTGTCCGCTACCATTCCAGTTACCATGGTGACAGACGTCTGGTCTAGGCGATTGACCTTATGTTTTTGGACGAGAAGAAGAAGAAGAAAAAACACAGTGTTTTACTTCTGCCAATCAGGAAATCTATTGGTCCATCCCAATGTGTTTTATATTATGGAAAACTCCCAAATATCTAGTAGTCAGATCAGTGAAACTATTATTACTCCGTGAAGGAGGTCAGGACCTCCGGACGGAGTGTTGTAATCGGCTGATTTTTCATGTTCGCAGTCAAAACACTGGGTTCTCTTTGTGTAATCGGCACGCAATTTTATACGCCGTCTGCGGGCATGCCCGTGTTGATGCACGAATGTGTATTTTTGCCGTTGCTGCTTTCGCGGTCAATGTAATATCGCAGACGCACCCCTACAATTACGAGGCGAATTGGAATGGTCCAGAAAAACGCGTTGTTTGGAATAGCAGTGGGGTTCAAAAAAGTTCATGCAGATACGGGGTGGTTTTTATAAGTGGTTCCAGATGTTTTTGCCCATGGTTAAGAGATGCCAAGTTTTTTGGAAGATGTTCGCAGCCAAAACGCATTCTTCCGTACGTCGCATTTCTGTGTAATTTCGCATGTGGTGTTGCATTATGTCCGGGATGATGCACGTCTTTTTATTTTTACCGTAGCTGTTTTGATATTGGAGTAAATGCTTATTTTCGAAACATCCCCATTTCTTTGAAATGGTTTCGTCCGTTTATGCAACTGTTACTGCGCTAATGACGACCAGTCGCGCTGTCCTGATACACCGCGAATGTGCGAGTGTTCCCTGTAGACAATCCCGGGAGTCATTTTTTTCGCACATTCCAGGAGCCAAACCAAAATACGTTCATGAACCGAGTAAAAAAAACCGAAACGTGAAAATCGGATGATCGGACCTGATGTACATTTCTCTTTCTATAGATTGTACACACAATACACACATCTTTAGATAATCTGGCCATGGCAGGTTAAAAAAAAAGTAACCCTGAATCATACTAGATTAGCGTAAATGCATGTTAATGCGTTCAAAACAAGAAAAAAATTGTTTCCGGGTATTAATCTCTTGAATCACGGCGCTGAATATTGACGCAAAAATATTTCGGGCATCGCGCGCCCTTCCCGCGTCACGTGTAGGCATCTCGCATCTCTGATTGGTTGTTGCGTCTTAAGATGACTGAGCCGACGCGCGTTTAAACAATTTTTCTTTGTTCGATTTATCACACTTCACAGAGAATTGTCGCCAATGGCTACTTCTTTTTGTTGCAATATATAATACTTCACGGAGAATTGTCACCTATGGCTTCTTGTTTGACTTTTCTACCGAAATGTCTTCCCAACTGCATCTCTTACTTACATGTACACGTAAAATTTGGAGTTTTTTTCTCTGTGTATGTGAAATAATGCATGGGCACATACGCATACATATTGATGTGGGCCTTTCGGTGTAATTCTAAGCCCATACGCACTTTGGTAGAATCTGGTACAGAAGATCCTCCGCCTTTTTCTTCTCGTTCAGGAAGGCCTCTGTCCTCTCCTGGACCAGACCCTCCAGGTTGTTAGCATACTGTTCCATCCGGGACAGTAGGTTATCCAGGATGTTAGTGCCTTCATTCCCCCTGGAAAAAAAACCCGGATCATATGTAAGAACTTTATTGCAGGACAATTGCACATGGTACAATGTATGGCAAACTACATAAAGCGAGTAACAAACAATAAAATGTGTTGAACAAGACCTAATGTCGAATAAAACCTAACATATCTATATCATACTTATTCAAATAATAAGGGATAGCACAAGTCTTTGATAAAGTATTACAATCGAGTGGGCTAATCACACGTTTCGGTATGTTTTCTAATAACAAAGCAATCCTTAATATATCTACCTATTTATGTGTGGTGGGGACCATTACATGTAAAGATATATTCAAATCTGTCTCTAACATCGAGACTCTTGAAATCTATTGTACTTGATTCGAGAAATGTAAATAGCTTGTTACATAAAACATCATTTTTGGTACATTCCATAACAAAATGAAATTCATTTTCTATATGCTTTGGACAAAATGGACAGAACCTTTGGTCAGGGGCTATATTGTAATATCTACCTGTTTTAATATTCAATTTATGGCTACTGATTCTTAATATGCTAAGGTCCCATTTCACAACCGGGGCCCGACCGGGCTGTTTCTATTAACGAAAAATCAATATTTATATCAATGATATACGCAGTTGCCATTTTAAAACTTTTTTTGTGCTTTTTTGTCTTTTACATCATACTTTTCGTTCCATAAGACTGCCCGGCCGGGCCCCGGTTTGGAAATGTGGCCTCAGCATTAGTCGAAAAAAAGACTATGATGTTGTCGCTACAAATTACATTGGCCTTTCTATAAAACATAGGTAAGAGGTAACAATTACTTCTATTCATGATTGTCGAGACAGCATCACTTGCACTGGCAGACACTAACGGAAAAAACGCCTGTATGCAGATTAAAGTCCCTGTCACACATAGCCAAATATATGGCATCCCAAACACTAGCCGACCATGGTTAGGAGTAGGTCGGGAGCAAGGTCGGCTGGTGTTCGGCGAGGTCAGCTACGGTTCGGCTGCGCCAGCCAAATGTTTAAAAAATGTTTCAAACATTCCGGCGTGGACGGAAGTTTCGGCCATGGCTAGATATGTTTGGCGGCTGTTGGAGCAGGTGGGGGTGTGGTGACAGTCAAATTTGACTCCAATTTAACTCAAATTCGATTCGTATCGAAAGGTAGGCGTGGCTAACTCCGGTCAGATTGCTCTCAAGCGTCATCCGACCTTGGCTGACTGGTGTTCGGGGCAATGTTCTGAATGTGTGACCGGGGCTTGACAGGCACAGGTACCGGTGTGCAGACTGACTGATAGCCGGGGTGCCAGACCGTTGCCAGGGGCAGTATACAGGCTAGCTTCTCGACTCCGAAAATTTTACCATAGACACCCCCCCCCCCGATAGACTCTGAGATAAATTAGACTCCCTTGTGCTAATTCTTGGGATCGGGACTTGTGGCTTCCCCCAGCCGAAGCTGAATTCTGTCGAACCAGGGTCTGGCATTCAGGTTAAGACCATGTTGATTTGATTATATGGATGACATCTCTGGAAACCCCAAAACTGATGCGATCGTGCGAATGAAAAAAGTTTTGCAAAAAAAGGTGCTTTCATTATGACATGTACGTGGTCATGAAGGTTGACCAAATGACACAGAGTATGGTATGGCGAATAATCTAGTCTTCAAATTAATTTCTTGACATTTTCGTCTTTTTTCGTTTGATTTTGGCATTCTACGACATTGGTATATTTTTGAATATTTTTTTGCAACGTACGGTATATTTTTGCTCATTGTGCAACTGCTTTGTACGATTTACAGTATGGTTGAAAACTTTTTTTCTTTTTGAAAATGGCCGAAAATTTATGCGCGCGCGGGTGTCATCCATATAATCAAATCAACATTGGCCTAACTGACAGACTGAGTTCCTATTTACTTGTTGAGGCTCTTGACGTATAGTTTGAGGGTGTGGAAGTCCGGCCTGTCCGCCGGGTCCTCTCCCCAGCACCGCTCCATCAACGTCCGCACGTTCACCGGGATGTTGTCGGTGATCGTCGGGCGGAAGTACTCCTTCTTCAGCTTCACGATGATGTCTGTAGTGCACGGGGCAACGTTGAATCATTAGAAGTGAGATTGTACCAATGCGATTCTGAATATTTTTGTTATCCTTGTGCAATATCTTTGTTACGTTTGTATACGTTTGTTAGGATTGTTAAAAAATGTACACTGGTACCAAAAGATACCAAATGGTGTGCTGTATGAAAACCTACCCACAGTGAGTGAAGCAATAAAAAAACGAAGGTTGAAGTTCATCGGACACTGCTACAGAAGTGAGGATGACATCATACATTAGTTATTACTGTGGGAACCCACACATGGAAAAAGAAGTCGAGGTCGTCCAACAAGAAACTAGATTAACCAATTAATGGACGACACCCAGCTCGACAGGAAAAACCTGATGGTGGAAATGAAGGATAGGAAGAGATGGACAGCAGTCATTGGAACCGAGGGACGCTTGACCCAGTGAGTGAGTGAGTGAGTGATTCCTGTGGTTGGATTTTTTCTTCAGACGACGTCATCCATAAAATTAAGACAGCGTGGCCTAAAGTGACAGCAATGACGACACACGTGCACGTACCTTTCGGACTAAGGTCCTCCTCCTCAGTCTCCACGTAGAACGTCCCATTCCTGACGCAGATCTCCTGCAGGATGATACCGAAGCTGTACACGTCTCCCCTCTGTGTGCCGCCCGGTACATGCACCTCCATCCGCAACAACTCAGGAGCCGTCCACAGCTTACCTTCGTAACACGATGTGCAACAATGCCGATAGCAAATGAGTGAATGAGTGCATGAATGAGTGAGTGAGTGAGTGAGTGAATGAATGAGTGAGTGAGTGAATGAATGAATGAATGAATGAATGAATGAATGGATGGATGAGTGAGTGAGTGAGTGAGTGAATGAATGAATGAATGAATGAATAAATGGATGGATGAGTGAGTGAGTGAGTGAGTAAGTGAAGGGATGGATGGATGGGTGAGTGAGTGAGTGAGAGTGAATGAATGATCGATTGCATGAATGGATGAATGGATGAGGACCTTTAGTGTACATCTAGCATACCCACTACTGTGTTAAGCACAGTATACACATGCATCAAGATATCACCAGGATTATATATATTATATAGTCGACTAACTTCGACTTCTTCTCCTCGCTTCTCTGTGATATTAAAAAGGTAAATACGTAAAAAAAATAGTATCAGAGGTTAGAAATTATACAGGGGCTTAATACATACAGATCATTCTGTATGTATTAAGCCCCTGTTACACATTAACGAATTTGGCCACCCGAACACTAGCCGAACGCCCTACAACCATGGTTAGGAGTAGATACGAGAAAAGTCGGCTGGTGTTCGGCGTTTTCAACCATACTGTAAATCATATTTCATAATGAAAGAAATTTTTTGCCAAACCTTTTTTTATTCGCACGCTCACATCTGTTTTGGGATTCCCAGAGGATGTCATCCATATACTAAAATCTACATGGCCCAAGGTCAAGGCAAACTCAGTGTGCATCAGAGGCGTTCGTAAAGATCATAGATGTTACCCTGAAGCAACATTCGTGTGCGGAATTTTACGATTATGCCAATTTTGTATGGGTTGAAAAGAACTTCATAGCATGAAATTACTACTCATCTTAAACGCATGAAGGACACCTATAATATCCTATTCATTCTCCTCTGGCTGGGCTGAGGGTTCAGAATCGTGACTAATAAGATCACGATAGCTACCCCGGAGTTATATTCCGGAAGTATAGTATTTTAAGCCCCTGCTACACATATCCGAATAAAGCCTCACGACCATTAGCCGACGTCCCCCGACCATGGTTAGGAGAAGGTCAGAAGCATGGTCGGCTGGTGTTCGGCCAGGTCGGCTACTGTTCGGCTGAGTCCGCCGTTTTAGAATGTTTTAAAATGTTCGAAAGTGTTCTGGGGTTTGAAGGTACTCAATGTGTGACAGGGGCTTCAGCCAACCTTGGTCGGCTGGTGTTCGGGGGAAGGTTCTGAATGTGTAACAGGGGCTTCAGCCAACCTTGGTCGGCTGGTGTTCGGGGAAGGTTCTCGAATGTGTGACAGGGGCTTCAGCCAACCTTGGTCGGCTGGTGTTCGGGGGAAGGTTCTGAATGTGTGACAGGGGCTTCAGCCAACCTTGTTTGGCTGGTGTTCGGCTTTAAAATGTGTAACAGCGGACATTACTTGCGTAAAAGGCGTGCGAGTCCCTGTCCCTAGCCGAGTCCTCCTCCCGGAGAGAGTGCAGGCCGAAGTCGGTGACCTTCAGCACGAAGCGGCTGTCAACCACGCAGTTAGAGGACTTCAGGGAGCCGTGTGAGTGGATCTCGCTGTCGTGGATGTACGCCATGCCCTGGGGAGCAGAGAAAAGTTCACAGGTTACTTCTAAATATCCGGATGGGTTCCAACGTTTTCGACTTGAATGGTTTTAGCTTCCCACATCTATCAAGCTTGCACCATCTATAGGTCACTAATTATAAGTGAACTGATGAGATCATTGGTTACGCTAGTTTCCGTCTCGTATATAGCCGTTGCCATTTGAAAGGGTCGATGCCATATGTACAGTTCATGTGTATTCATATTTGAATCACTACAAAAGCGACACCATGTTGTAAATAGCTGATATATACCCTGAATTGCAGAATGTTATAATACTCTTCCTAAGAAAACACAATAGATTAGCTCGTTAGAATCATATTTTCCATTGTTTCTTTTCCATACACTACCAGCTACAGTTGTTGAGCAATAAAGTTGATTGTATATATATATATATATATATATATATATATATATATATA